GGTAAATAATATATTAATGGTCACATGTGGTCTTCTGAATTTGCTACATATATTTTGTTAGAGCAAGAAGCTGCAAGGAGCTCAGAGGAGGCAGAAAACAGACAGGGCCTGGGAGGGTCAGCTCAGGGAAGGGCGCTGGATACCACCTAAGAAAGGTTTCAGGGCCCTACACAGCTGTGGGCACCAAACATTATGTTTTCTTCCCAAGCTTCTGCAGGCATTTGCCTACCCTAAATAGTTTTCATAAAAATAAAATGAAATTCTTGCCTTCAACAGTATACAATGCATACATGTACCAAAACATCCATATATGAGTGTTTTTATGTGTCCATTGAAATAAAGAAGATAATTCTTGAAACTAATCAGGGATATCTTTAATAAACAGTAGGCCCATCTCATCCCCTTCCTAAATCTGAGCGCGGGCTTATTCATCCTGAGGCGAGTATCACCTGCTTCAAGAGAACACAGGCTTGGGAAAGGTACTCCCCAGTCTCCAATCTGTAGGACACCCATAGAAGCCCTCCCAAGGGGGAGCTGAGTGTTTGTGCAGATGAGTTGGAGAATGATCCTACTATGTGCTGGACATTTGGTTGGCCTCAGTGAGACAGGAAAGGTCTGCCTATAGATCCAGATGTGGCCTTTCATGGAATTCCCTTCATCTAGCTTTCCTGGACAGGTACAGTAGCATTCATTCACCCACCCACCCATCTCTCCTGCTTCTTCAGCAGCACACTTGTGCCTATGGGCTATGTTTCAGGTACCCTAGGGGACACCTGTCTGCTCACTCATTGAACCCTTCGGATTGCTGCCCCTCTGGGCTGATGATGAATGTCTAGGCCTGGGCCATAGTGCCTAGGTGGTAGGAGGTTAGGATAGTTGAAGCTGTCAGTCTGGGTGTGACCATTGCTCCATCAACTCAAAATCGGAGGTCAGTCCATCCGCAGAGTGAAAGGGTGGGTAATGTCCTCAGTGCCCCATTTGGCCCTCATATTCTCTAAAAAGCCTCCAAATGACGACTCTGCCCACCAAGGCCTGTCCCGAGGCACCGGCGAAGTCACTTTGTAACACATCCCATTCCCCCTGCAGTTCAGACATTCAAGTCACAAGAAGAAGGGAGTGGATTTCGAAATGTTAGATCCTTTGTCACCTGTCTCTGAATGTAAAATGAGTCCCGGAATGCCTAGGGATATCAACTGCCTGGCGAAACCTAGGGGATGGTAGTCTGCAGCCGACTTCTCCTGACAGAGGCAGGGCTGAAGAGAAGACCTGGAGCTGAGCCCGGCTGTGGGCAGTCTTGCAAATCAGGGAGTGGGAGAAGGCTGGGGGTGTGAAATCCACCAAGTCACTTCCCAGTGGCTTCCTGTTGAGTTGTGGGCTCCCAGTGAGTGCCTAGCGAGGCCCAGGGGGACCCTGCATTCTGCACTCCAGGGGGACACAAGGCATTTGTCTCCTGGCCAGCAGTTTGACCCTGGAGACAGATCAAGTCCGTCTCTATGGGACCGGGATAACACACTATCCAAGCTGTGTTCCCATGGCTCAATAGGATAGAAGGACACTAGGCCTGAACCAACACAGCCACAACTGCCTGCCAGCTGAGACAGAGACAGAGACAGACAGATAGAGACAGAGGCAGAGACTGTGAGATAGAAGAGAGAGTTGAGAGAGAAGAGAGAGGAGAGAGAGGAGAGAGAGGAGAGAGAGGAGGGTGGGAAGAGTTTTCTGTAAGAGAGTTTTCTGAAAAAAAACTAATCATTGCATGTATTGAATTATTGACAAGTATAAAAATTTTAAAACAATTCATGATTAAAACTCCAGGGGATTTCTATGATTGGGCCCAGGGCTGGGCTGGGGCCGGCGGAGGGCCAGCCTGGAGCGGCTCACACTCGGCTGCCCTGGGCACACCCGGGGGCTGGTGTCACACCCACTGGACGTGCAGGGCGGGGAGACCTCCGCCCCAGACCCTGGGTGTGGCGGGGCCTTGGCTGCAGGAGGAAGACGCCATCCGGCCCCTTCCCCTGGCTGTGGACCCAGGACCCGGCGGCCAGGCCCTGCTTTGTGCAGCCTCCCCAGGTCTGCCAGCCGCCATCTCACCCATCGCCTGGGCTGGGAAGCTGCCTCCGCATGCGTGCGCCAGCCTGCCACGCTGCTCCCGGGGATGGGCGGCTGCCCCGCGTGTGCGCGCCAGCCCGCCACACTGCTCCCGGGGATGGACGGCTGCCCCGCATGCATTATGGGGTGCTGAGGAATCGAACCCAGGGCCTCATGAATGCAAGGCAAGCGCTCTACCACTGAGCCACCTTCCCAGGCCAGAAATTAAACATTTTTTAATACAGTGAACTTGATTTGAAAAACACATATTGTAAAAATAAATGTCCATGAGTCAAACTCCAACAACAACAATGAAAGCAAAAATAAATGTTTCCCGCTTAGGGGTGGGGCAGGGACGATGCCAGGCAGATGCTCCGCAGCTTTTTAAAAGATGCTTCCACTTGGGCTGAAAAAAGCCAGAAGTGGGGCTGTAGCTCAAGTGGTAGGGTGCTATCCTTGAGCTGAAGAGCTGAGGGACAATGCCCAGACCCAGAGTTCAAGCCCCACAACCGACCAAAAAAAAAAGATGTTTCCACTCTTTTTTAAACTATCACAGGAGCTCAGCTCTGTCCCCAAGGGTATGAGAAGTCAAAGAACAGCACAGCCATGCGAAGGCCCCTAGTCCATCCCCCCCCTTCTATAAACCACAGGCTAGCCAGTGGGCTTTTGATTCTAATGTCCAGCTGAAGCCAAGGTCAGAGGGAGTCTGTGAAGGAGTCCAAACTGTTTCTAGAATCTCTGAAGACGCGCTGGTCTTGCATTCACCGTCCCTGAGCTCTCCCTCACAAGCTGCCTGTGTTGGCATCTGTCTTCCAGCACAGGGGTCTTGCTACGCTTACAGCAAGCTCGCCGCACACAGTCACACAAAGGTATTATTTCCACCTTGCATGTCGGCTCTAGAATATCTGCAGAGCCTTTTGAGGCCTTAATCAAAGGCCAGGATGTCAGGGAAGAGACCATATGCTTAAAGAGTGTCAAGAGAGAAAACTTAGGCCCCAGATAAATCATGTTGATTTACTGTTAATTTCTGCTGCGTCTCAGGCAACTTGAGCGGGTGCCAACCGCCAACCACAGGCAGGCTCCCAGGCACAGCAGCTCCTCCCCGGGGGGCCCACCTCCTCCCAGAGGCACAGAGCAGCAGGAGGCCAGACCAGGGAGGGGGAGGGGACAGGGGTGGCAAATCCCTCCTTCTCCCTGTTCTCCCTCTGTGGCTTTGCTGCTTGGGGAATTGCTGGGTTTCCTCTTCTGTATAGTTAGGAGCATGACAGTTCTCCCTCAAGCTCACTTCACAGATGAGACCGGTGAAGGGAAATCAACAGGGCAGGCTGGACTTGCGCACTGGGGTCGCCTGGTTACTAACTCAACTATCCAGCACCCAAGGCCCCAGCCACCACACAGGACTCATAAATATTTACACCCGGCCTGGGTTGCGATGCTCAGTTAATTGTTCTTGTGACGCACTTAGAGAGCCTCAGAGGAAAGGTATGCTAGGGCCAGGGGTTGTTAAAGGCACAAACAACTTAGCTCACAGAACGGGCACCTGAAATCTAAGGAAAAGCCAATCCCAAAAGCACACTGTCTGAGGGTGATGGTTGTGAGTTCACACAGACCTTGTTGGAAAACAGATGCTCATGCAGGTAATGTCCCAAAGAAGTAATGGGGGAAAAAATGGTCCCAAAACATTTGGGGAGGATAAAAAAAAGAACAAATAATTTAGATTCACCTAGTCTTCTAGAAAGTGAACAAGGAGAACAAGGGTTTCAAGTTCCATGGAGGTAAAGCTGGGTTGCAGTTGGGATTTCCTGGTGCAGAGAATGTGATCACTCCTACTCTATATGTAAGAACAAAAGTGAAGCTGGGCACCGGTGGCTCACGCCTGTAATCCTAGCTTACTCAGGAGGCTGAGATCTGAGGATCGTGGTTCAAAGCCAGCCCGGGCAGGAAAGTCCATGAGACTCTTATCTCCAATAAAGCACTAGAAAACCCAAAGTGGTGCTGTGGCTCAAGGGGTAGAGCGCTTGCCTTGAGCTGAAGAGCACAGGGACAGCACCTAAGCCCAGAGTTCAAGCCACACGACCAACCAAAAAAAAAAAAAAAGAACAAAAGTGAATCTGAGGGCTGGGAAGGTGGCTCTTTGGAGAATGCTTGCCTCACATGCATGAGGCCCTGGGTTCAATTCCTCAGCACCCCATAAGCAGAAAAAGCCGGAAGTGGCACTGTGGCTCAAGTGGTAGAGTGCTAGCCTTGAGCTGAAGAGCCGAGGGACAGTGCCCAGGCCCAGAGTTCAAGCCACAGGACCAACAAAAAAAAGTGACTATGAATTGGCACAAGCCATGTAGAAAGCCATGGGGAACAGCTAGCAAGGGCCTCGCAGGCCTGCGCCATCCAGCCCCTCTCTACACTGGGCTACCATCTACCCCTGCAACCAGCCCTGAGCTTAGAAATGGAGACCACGGGTCCCTCCCCATGTATTTTTTTTTTTACAATAGTTAGAACTCACCAAAATCTAAATCTCACTCCCAAACATCACACAGCCAGTGAGCACCGGATTTTGGAATAACATTGACGGGTACAGAATGTATTTGTAACTTCAGGATCTTGTCCGTTCTCTTGAGCTATGTGGACACAGGTGTGTGCACGCACCTACGTCTTCATATACACACATACGCACGTGTGGGTGTATGAGAATTCTTTTTAGAAGGTGGTCTTGTTGGTTTATTTTATTTTTGTCCTCTACAGACCTTTTTCTCTCTCTTATATCCTAACAGTATGTTACTTGGAGTCTACAGTATTAGGCACACAGAAGTTTCACTGGGGGTCGTGCAATGGCGTCTAGGAAGAACTTGCTCACTTGGGGGGGGAAGTAGGCAGGTTCCACGGCTGACGTTCATTGGTTCTCTCTTCTGCCCTAGGTCATGGCCTCGTCTCAGCGCTGCCAAAGGTGAGTGGGGCGCCCTCTGTCGGGACCCTCATGGGTCTGTTGAACTGCTCTGCTGTGGTTGTCTGTGGTGGGAGGGGGGGTTCCTCTGGCGTGCTCACAGAGCTGCAGTTCAGGCCCTTGGGCGGGGAACAGGGCAGAGGCTGTCCCTGCAGATTCAGCAAAGGCTGGGCCTCCTTTCTGAAGATTCAACCAGCTAGGGGCTCCTCCAGGACGGACACCCTGAGACTTCCAAGACTGGACCTGGTGACTCAGCCAGGCTTGTGACAGCCTGGTGACAGGCTTTCAGAGGGAGCATCCCAAGAGAACACGTCAGAACACGCATGCCCAGTGGCCAAGGAGTACATGCTCCTGACCACCTAGCCTCGTAACTCCCAGAACACACTGGGCACACTACAAACACGGCTAACATTTGCCTGGGGGAGTCAAGGGTAAGGAAAGGAGATGCTGTCTCTTGATATCTGTGCTGCTTTTGATCACTCTAGCAGCTAGGCACCAGTGGCTCACACCTGTAATCTCAGCTCACAAGAAGCTGAAATCTAAGGATCATGATTTGAAGCCAACCTAGGCAAGAAAATCCCTAAGATTCTGCTCTCCAATTGACCAGATAAAAAGCTGGAAGTTGAACTCAAATGGTAGAGTATTGGCCTTAAGCAAAAAAAAAAAAAAAAAAATCTCAGGCCCTGAGTTCAAATCCCAGGACCAGAATTAAAAAAAAAAATCTAGTGGTCTATTCTACGGAGCACTAGCTCCACATGGCTGTTCCCTCCAGTGTATTTATAGTGCCTAGGAATAAATATGTTTATGTGACACATTGCCTGGTGACTTAAAAACTATGTAAAATAGAGCAGCCAGTAGGACCTACCTGTGCCAGTTTCTCATCAATCAAATTTTATTTCCTCCTTGGTGAATTAGAGGAAAACTGAGAGGTTGGTTTTTCCATTTCATGAGTAACAATATAGAAACACACATTTAAAAAGAAGGAAAAGAAGCTGGGCACAAGCGGCTCAAGTCTATAATCCTAGCTACTATAATCCTAGCTACTCAGGAGGCTGAGATCTGAGAATCTCAATTCAAAGCCAGCTGGGGGAAGGAAAGCCTATGAGATTCTGATCTCCAGTGAACCACCAGAAAACCAGAAGTGGCGCTGTGGCTCAAGTGGTAGAGCACTCACCTTGAGCTGAAGAGCTGAGGGACAGTGCCCAGGCCCAGAGTTCAAGATCCATGAATGACCCCCCCCCGAAAAGGAAATGAAATACGAATACACCCCCACCAAAAGACAACTGAGATATAGCTTCCCAAGTCTATTCCACATCCATGCACCTACCCACGCACAATGCTCAGTCCAAGCACACGTAAGGTCTATGCAAATATAACAGATCTTAACTAAGAATGTGTCTGAGGACTAACTTTCAAGAAGGGCCTTCACTTCCCAGAGATCTGATTGAAAATATGGTGAGCACATCGATGTGAGAAAATGCACTATGAGCAAATAAATACACACACAGCACATGCGGTGCGATGTGGGAGCGAATCAGCGTACAACAATGTCATGATCTGATGACATGGTAGGGATTTCTATTCTCTCTTTTCTACTTTCCACATCTATGCCTTATAACTTTTGCACAGTAATATACATTTTTATACTGTAAGAAAAAAAATTAAATAACTTCTTTTAAAAAAAAAATCCTCCAGGCCTGGGAAAAACAGATACACACTACAATGTAGACAATCAGTCAATGTCCTGCCTTCTCAGAAGCTTATATACAGAGAACAATGCTGTATTTTTCCATAAATAAACTCATGAATTTTTTTCTCTTTCCACTGTACAAAAAAATGAAATTGGAGAACATCACCTTATTTAGAAACTGGGTTCTTCTGCCTTAAGCATCGTATGCAATAAATCTCGCATAAAGATAGATATTGGCTGATTCGATTAAGTAGACGCAAAATTTCATTTCGTCCAGAAACATTTGACTTTTCTTTCCAATTTTCTATGGAAAGAAGTCTTAAAGGTTGATTTTCCCCACTTTTAAAAGAAAAATTAATAAGGATTTTTTTTTTTTAGGACTAGAGGCACAGAATTGTGTGTATCTGGTGCCCCCTGCTGACCTTTTTAAGATATTGCAAGGCCTGTACTAATTGAGACAAAGCTGGAGTCAGCCAGGTTCTAGAAAGTTTGGTGGACAGAATCAAATAGAGAACCCGACAGCACAACTGGCAAGGTGCTCACCAAATTCTTGTAAGCACCAAGCAGTGCTTCAAGTCTTCTGACTAACAGCTGTCTTCAAAGTTCAATGGACAATAGACTCTCTCTAGATATAGATATAGTTACATAGATATAGATATAGATGTTCTAAAGCCACCCAGGGTTTACACTAGGGTGAAGCCATGGGAGACATCTACAAGGTAATTCCAGTTCAGGGAAGTTTTAGGATGTTCTTTCAAGAATCACTGGCTGAGGTTAAGGAAGAAGAGCCAAGAGTCAGCGGCTCATGCTTTTAATCCTAGCTACTCAGGAGACTAAGATCTGAGAATCATGGTTCAAAGCTAGAAATTCTGTGAGACTCCTAACTCCAATTAACCACCAAAAAAGCTGAAAGTGGAACACCTTAAGTGGTAGAACACTAGCCTTGAGTACAAACACTCAGGAACCGCACCCAGGCCCTGAGTTCAAGCCCTGGGACCAGCATAGGCAAAGAAAGAGAAAGAAAGAGAGAGAGAAAGAGGAAAGAAGGAAGGAAGGAAGGAAGGAAGGAAGGAAGGAAGGAAGGAAGGAGGAAGGAGGGAAAGAAGGAGGCAGGCAGGGAGGGAGGGAGGGAGGGAGGGAGGGAGGGAGGGAGACTCTCAAAACTGTCCCCACTACAAAGCTACCAGCCATGATCTAGACCACAGGGTCAGTTTCTCCCACCTGAGTTTCTGAAAAGCACCAGGAAAATGGGAGGGACCAGTCTCATCCATCACCATATGCTCACTCATTCATCTGTGCATTCAAGCAATCTGTGGCAGGTCCAGGAAATGACAGATATATCAAGTGTTGGGCACAGATGTCTTTGAAATGAAAAGTGAAACTGTAATATCTCTAGGACTCTGCTGGCCTGATGTTCATAATCCCATACTTTGCAGATGAGGAAATCAAGAAGTAGAGAAGGAGGTAGATTTCCAAGGAACAGCTTCTGAGAACATTGAGGTTGCTCTTCCAGCTAATAATTCACATTCCTTTTGTGCTTATTTAGGGCTTGAAATGATCAGCTCATAATCTCAAAGTGATAGTTGATCAAATAACTTGGAACACCCAGAAAACTAAATGACTGAGTCAGTCTGTTTCATTTTGACTCTCACTCCTCCATCTCTCTCCCTCTCCCTCTCCCTCCCTCTCCCTCCCTCCCTCTCTCCCTCTCTCTCTCTCTCTCTCTCTCACACACACACACACACACATTCTCTCTCATTCCCTCTCTTCATACATAGACACACATGTGAAAGAAACCAATATATACTGGGCGTCTAGAATGTACCAGGCATTTAATAACCTTGTCTAACTTAGCCGTGGGGAGGTTGGGCACTGATTCACTACACTGACTTTAAGTTAGATACCCTGAGCCAGCGAAGTCAGGAAGGAGTTTATACCTGAGAACTTAAATCCAGGCAGTACAGGTAGGCTTGTGTGCCCAGCACCTTTCACCTTGATCTTTCACTTTCAAATGAGGAGTCCGTAGACGCTGTGGCCTCTGGATGCCTAGAGTAATGGCTGGAGGACTGTTTGAAGACCCCTGCAAGGGATGAGCTCATGGGTGTCCGTGAAGCAGAACTGGGAAAGAGAGATGCACAACTTGCTTCCGATGAGCACCGAGGGGAGAATAATTCCTCCCGCAGAGCTGAAAGCCCTGCTGAATTCTTGGGGCCGAGGCGGGAGGGGGAAGCTTTGGTCCTGAGGTTGAACTTCAAACAAAACATCTCACTCCTGGGCACTGAAACTTCAGGGCAAACAGAGTCTGGAAACTGCGAGTGGCCATCCCACCCAGACCACATGCGCCTGGGCCAGTCATAGCTATGTGGGGAGCAGACAGGGAAACCCCACCACTTGACAGGGCAACGTTCGGCACCCAAGTCTCGCAAGTCCTGAGCCTTGCATGCGGCCACATTGCCAGAAAGTCACGCGCCAGGATATGGACCTAGAACCTCCCATGAAATATAGATGTTGTCTTCCTTCTACCCTTGAGTAGCAGTTCTGCATTGCTAAATAGAAAAGTCCAAAGCTGGCCCTCCCCAGGAGAACAAAGCATTAACGACTCAAAACCTCAGGAGAGCTTAACCATGACAACTAGTTTCAATATCTTTCCTAGTAGAAGGCAAACGCAGAATGAAGGAACACGGGCTCTGTTTCCTGGAAGACCTCCAAGACCATCCCCCACTCCTCTTGTGTCCACTCTGCCGGGTGGACGGACGTGGTTTATCTGCCAGGGATCTGAGATGGAGTGGACGGAGCTGGATGGGTCAGGAAGGTGGGAGGCAGAGCGTCTGGTCCCAGGGCTGGGGCACAAGGCGGTCCCTACAGCCGCTGCCTCCACGCGCAGGTCCTAGACACATCCCCGAGAGCTGCATTTCCACCAAGCCCCTCCCACATCAGTGACCCCCGCAGGAAAGGGGGCGCCCAGGCACGACCCCCCTTCATTCTCTACTCTGCTATGGTTTGGGAGTTCAGGGTGAAAAGACTCAAGCCCACAGAAATAATGCGTCTGCAGCAAGATATGGAACAGCCTTAAAATGACCACGTGTGTTTGGGCTCCTATTCTTCCTACCGACACAAACCGTTTTGCATTTGTTTTTTAAAGTGACAGAGAAAAAGGAGGAGGGGGGAGGAAAGGGAAGGAGGGTGGAGAGGAGAGGGGAAGAGGGGGGAGGGGAGAAGAGAATGAAGAGGAGGGAGGAAGGGAGAGGGGGCAGGGAAGGAAGGGGAGGAGGGAGAGAGGAGGGGGAAGATGGAGAGGAGAGGGGAGGAGGGGGAGGAGAGGGGAAGGAGGAAGAGGGGGAGGAGAGGGGAATGAG